CCCGTCATGCGCCGCGGGCGGGAGGCGGAAGCGCGGCGGGCCCGGGCAGATGGCGGAGTGCGGCGCGGCGGGCGGCGCGGCGGGGGCGCCGAGCCGGCACGAGAAGAGCCTGGGCCTGCTCACCACCAAGTTCGTGTCGCTGCTGCAGGAGGCCAAGGACGGCGTGCTCGACCTCAAGCTGGTGCGCCCGGGACGGGCCTGGCAGGGGGAGCGGCGCCGCGGGCCGGGCTCGAGCGCCGCCGCGGCCCCCGTGCCCGCCCGTGTGAGGGGAAGGCGCCGTCACGGCCGCTGCCCGTGGCCGGTTGAAGGGAGCCCGTGGGTCTCCCGTGGGCGGGTTTCGGGCTGCCTCCCCGCAGGGTTTGGCCGCAGAGCAGGGCGGGTTGCCGCAGCCCCGGGGGAGGCGGCCGCGGTTCGAGCTGTGGGGACGTTACCGGGAAAGGAGCGGGGCGAGGGGGCGGCGGCGGCTTGTGGTGGTGGCGCCGGGAAGGGGGCTCCGTAGCTGGGGGCCCTGGGGCGGCGCCGGCCCCCGGGGCTGACGCTCCCGCTTCCCGCAGGCCGCGGATACGCTGGCGGTGCGGCAGAAACGGCGGATCTACGATATCACCAACGTCCTGGAAGGCATCGGCCTCATCGAGAAGAAATCCAAGAACAGCATCCAGTGGAAGTGAGTGGTGGAGAAAACTCGACGGCTCCTGGGTCCCTGGTAGCCCAGGGTGCCGAGAGCTCCCGGTGCCCCGCGTGGGAAGGCAGCGCCCCGCGGGGCTGTCGCCTCAGTGGCCGCAGTGCCCTCCTCGCCCCGGGCTTGCTCGGCCTGCTCGCAGCTTCCCCCGGCCCGGCTGGGCTGCTGCTAGCCAGGAGGGCTGAACTAGGGAGGGCTGAACTACGTGTGGCTTCTTATTTTGGTGCAGACCCCGGTATTCGTAGTGCCCGGGGTCGGGAAAGGTGCCGGCTGTGGCGCTGGGGAGGGAGAGAGGCCTCTCACTGTCACCCGAGGGAGGCTGCCCTGAGGCTGCTGGGCTGGAAGGGAGGGCTGCAGGGCAGGTAGGAGTCAGGCTTTCCGGGGCCTGGCTTATCTGAGCTTGGCACATGGTGGAGGTGGCAGCAGGGTCTCCGAGAAGCGCCCAGTTGCTTTGCATGGCTCCTATATGTTCCTGCTTTCTACGTTGCGCAGAGGGGTGGGTCCTGGCTGCAACACCCGTGAAATAGCCCACAAACTCATTGAGCTGAAGGCAGATATAGAGGACCTGGAGCAGCGGGAGCAGGAGCTGGAGCAGCAGAAGATGTGGGTGCAACAGAGCATCAAAAACGTCACGGAAGACGTGCAGAACAGTCGATATCCTTTGCGTGGACTCGCCGCTGTGGCCAGCGCGCTGGGCTGGGCGGACGTGGGGGGGCTCGGCCGGCCGCCTTGCTCAGCGCGGGGAGCGGTGCCTTAGTGTTGCCAGAGGGTCTGCCCCACGGAGTCGAGGACCAGCGTCGTGCCTGGCAGCTCTTGGCAGCGTGGGAGAGCGGCCGCGCTGGCCCCTCCTGGGCTCGGCAGGGAAACGGGTGCCCTCTGAGCCCTGTCCTCACAGGAGCCCGCAGCCTTCTCCTTAACCCTGGCGACGCTAGCGTATGTGACGCATGAAGATATCTGCAAGTGCTTCACAGGTGAGGAAGCGGTGCTGCACAATAAACATGCTTGTTGCCTTGAGGTGTCCCAGCTGCTTTCCTTCCCTCAGGAAAGAGGGCCTTGGTGTAGATGCCACCGAGGGCTCCAAACAGCATCCAGGACAGCGTGGTGCAAACTGAACCCGTCGCACACCGCTGAGCAGGAGCTTTCCTGCTGGCACCGCAGGGGTGCTGAGGGGACAGGAGGTTTCACTGTGCTCGCACTAGGGGAGCTGAGTCCCCAGGCTGTCCTTGGGGCAGCCACAGGAGGCGTTTTGGCCGTGCTGTCCATCACTGTGCTAGTGGTTTTTGCTGTCCAGAGCCTTTGCACATGACACTTCCTTCTCTCTCCCCCCGCTCTCCTTCCTTCTCTTTCCCCATTTTTCCCTTTTGGTATATGTTAATCTTGCAGACGTGTTATGAACCTTTTATTTTGAGCACTTGGGTAGGTAATGTTCTTATAACTACAGGGAGCAATGTTTTACTGCAAGGTAAAATGAAAAAAAAAGTGATTTTTTTTTTATTTTAAACCAATCTGGGTATAAATCTGTAGAAAAAGTGTGTTCTTCCGTATCCTGTTTCTTTGCAAGAAGGTGGTGAAGAGGAGGTAGTAAAGAGCAGGGCAGGGGCTTGTGTCCCTCGTCGTGACCTTGGTGCGCTGCCTCACGAAAGCAGTGGGCATAAACAGCCGTGCGCCCCTTCCCACGGGACAGAGCCGGAGGAAGAAGCCAGCAGGGGCTTCTCTTTCCTCCCGGTTCTCTGCTAGCATGGCCAAACACGGCGCAAAAACAGGGGAACAAAAAACGGTCTTTTTTTCTAGGATATTTGCTGTGGTCCTGGTTTTGCTCTGTGAATTTATATAGCCTCACTGGGTACATGTCTGACCTATGGGGTATCTGAATCTCCTTGCGGAGGATTTTTGTTGGATTTTATCCCTTTGCATTGTGGTGAAGGCTGAATTTCAGCTCCCTTTTCTGCAACTGAGTGATATTGAACTAACCTTGAGAAAGTGAGTTATGGATTGAAGGTTTACATTCTTGGTATTTTTTTTCAAATAGGTATTCAGTATTTGAGTTAAATAGTAAAGCTGTGTTTATTTTTTAGTGATGGGAATAGAGTTTTTACAGTTCTGTTTAACTGTAACCTGTAGTTTTTATTCACGTTAAGGGGGCAGATGTGCTGTGGGATTTGAAAAGGAAAGACCTGTCAGCCCGGGGTTTTCGGAGGCTGTGCAGGGTCATCCTAGCAGGGTCCTGCAGGAAGGAGCAGGCGGCTGTTGCTGGTGAAGACCAGGAAGGTGGAGGTGTGTAGTTGTGTGGTGCTCGCCGTGCTCTTGGCTGCCTGCCCCTGGATCCACCCTGTTTCTTCGCTGGTGCTGTGGCTTGTGAGTTGTGTGCTGGCTTGTTCGCAGCTCCAATCCCTCAAATCAGCTTGTGACAAGATGAAGGATCCTTCCCATGGCATCCGGATTGTTCTTAGAGGGAATTAAAGCTAGACTCAGTGTGCCTGCGGAGGGCAAGGAAAGTGCATCCTCCTGAGAGCGTGGCTAAAACGCATTTCTCTCCAGGAGAAACGAGAGACCTTGGGGGTGGCTTTGTGCCCTTAGCAGCTGGCACATTCGGCGTGATGTGATGAGCAGCTCAGATGGAATCAAAAGGCAGCTCTGCAAAGGAATGAGGACAGAGTGGCCCGCGAGAAGGAGATTGGGTGGCTGATGATGCTCTAGGCATGGGGGGCTTTGAGGAGGGGCTGGGTGTCACTGTTGGTGCCCACCGCGAGCTGAGCAGCCTGTTTCCACAGGAGATACCCTGCTTGCCATTCGAGCACCGTCGGGCACGCGCTTGGAGGTCCCCATCCCCGAGGTGAGTGAACGCTGCGTGGGCAGCGGGGAGGGCTGCTGCGCTGCTGGTGGTGGGTGCGACGTTGCTGGCGGAGCTGGCGAGCCCCAGGAGGGCCCTGCGTGGTCAGTATTGCTAGCTCTGTTGGGGGCAAGTCGTGAGTAGTTGCAGGCGGTGCGGAGGGCAGGGTGGTTGTGGGAGTTGGGGAGGAACCGCTGAGTGAACAGGGGGACTGCGCGGAGTGCTCTGGGCAGCACGCGCTTCCTCTGGAAAATTCCTCTTTTAGTAATCGGTGTCTGTGTGTTCTTGCTTCTGGCCTTCTCCAGGGCATAAATGGGCAGAAAAAATACCAGATCCACCTGAAGAGCACAAGTGGCCCGATTGATGTCCTTCTAGTAAACAAAGATGCTTGGAGCTCCCCTCCTGTAGTGCTACCCGTCCCTCCCCCCGAAGACCTCATTCAGTGCCAGCCCGTCGTGCCCTCCAAACCGCAGATCCCGCCGCTTGCCCACGGCCAGGAGGCGGCTGTGCCCAGCAGCTCCCAGCCTTCCACGCCGACACCCACCAGCACCCAGGACCACGGTCCTCCCGCACACAAAGCTCCCAGCGCAGGTGAGGGGCTTCATGCGACGCCCACGTGGCTCAACCTCCCAAGCTGCAGCCTGCCGCCCTTGTCTTCGTTGCATCATTTGCATCAGGGAGAAGTTGGTTCCATCCTCTTTGTAAACCACTCTGCGGGTGTCTGTAAGATGCTGTTATGTTGCCCCAAGCCTCTACTCTTTGGTGCTGGCCACGCACCTCAAACTCCAGTCATTGTGGCTGCCCACAGCTGCATCTTCACTTGGGGTTGGTCAAAGCTGGACACAGCGTTCCAGGCGCAGCCTCTGCTCCAGACTGGAGGATAGGATCTTCCCTCGCTCTGCCAGCCCTGCTCCTGGCATAGATGGGTGGCAGACCCATGTGGATCGCTGTGGGAGCAGTTCCTCTGCCACCTGGCACTGCGCAGACTGTCTCCAGCTGCAGGACCTGCTTGTTCCTGCCGGGAGGGGACAAATAAACAGTGTCACCTTCCTCTTGCCATGCAGATGTTTGCTTGGTTGGCACCATAGCCAAGTACTAACTGCCAGCCGTTTGCTTGGTTCGCACGGCCAGCCAGAGCGTGTGCTGTGCCTGCGTTGCTGGCTCTGGGGCAGAGCTCCGGGGTGACCTCTGGGCCTCTCCTCTCTTTCAGAAGGCGGGGTCTCGGCGGCGGAGCCCAAGAGCGCGGGGGACCTGGAGCCGCTGGGCTCGGCGCCGGCCTTGGACACCCAGACCCTGCAGTCCTCTGCCTCGCTGGACAGCGGCGCCGGCCTGCCCAACCCCTCGGCCTCCTTCGAGCCCATCAAGCCAGATGCCACGGGAAGTGAGTGGGTGCCCGCGGTTCCTTGGCTGCCCCTGGCATCCTGCGGGAAGGGCGGCACGCTCTGCAAAACTCCGTGCTGCCAGCCAGGCTCTGTGAGGGGTGATGAGGCATCTCCCAGGAGGAGATCTGCCTTTGTGAGGGTACCGAGGAGCAGCAGAGGGCTAGGATGGCTGGGGGGGCACCCATCAGCAGTGCCCTCCTGACAAACAGGGCCAATGGGCTCCTGGCTGCATCAGGAGGACGCTGCCAGCAGGGCAGGGAGGGGATCCTGCCCCTCTGCTCCGCTCCGGGGAGGCCAAACCTGGAGCACTGGGGGCAGCTCTGGGCTCCCCAGGACAGGAGGGACCTGGAGCTTCTGGAGAGGGGCCAGCGCAGGGCAACCAAGATGAGGAAGGGACTGGAGCATCTCTCGACTGGGTGAGCTGGGCCTGTCCAGCCTGGAGAAGAGAAGGCTGAGAGGGGATCTGATCAACGTGTACAAGAACCTGCAGGGGGAATGCAGGGAGGAAGGGGCCAGGCTCTTCTGGGTGGTGGCCGGTGCCAGGACAAGGGGCAGTGGGTGCCAGCTGCAGCGCAGGCAGCTCCGTGTGCCCGTGAGGAAGAACTTGTTTGGTGGGAGGGTGCCCGAGCCCTGGCCCGGGCTGCCCAGGGAGGCTGCGGAGGCTCCTGCTCTGGGGATGTGCCAACGCGCCGGGCTGGGAGCGGGTGCCCCGTGCTCTGGGTGTCCCTGCTGGAGCAGGGGCTGGCCTGGGGGATCCCTAGGGGTCCCTTCCAGCCTCAGCCATTCTGGGATTCTGTGATTCTGTTTCTGCTGTTGTGTGTAGAATTACTCCTTTTCAGCCCCTTCTCCAGGTGAAGTCCAGGTTTGGAGACTATGCAAAGCTGTAGAGTTCCCAGCTGTCACCGAGGGCACCTGTGTAACCCAGGGGACGTTCTCCCTGGCAGAGCTTGCGTCTCTGCCCAGGAATGCTCCATCCATCTTCAGGAGCGGTGCAGGCTCAGTGGTCTTGCAGTGTAAATTGGGGGAGCTTTCTGCCATGCTTGGTGAGGTGAAGCGGGCTTCAAACAAGGAAGGTTTAGGCTTTATGGAAAACTGGCCAGAGTAAGGCAGTGTGCTTTGATGTGTGGGACCTGCCTTCACTGAGAAGAAGGAAAAAAAAACAGAGTTATGGCTAGAACAGAGAGTCTGGCCCAAACGTTAGCTTTATGCAGTGCTTGCTTGCTGCTTCTCACAGCATCTTGGAGTAGTCTTAGCTGTGGAATGGGCCTTTGGTTGCATGTAGACCTTGCTGAATTCCTGTGGGTCTGTGTTGTCTGTCAGGGCGCTGGCTCTCATCCTGCACAGGATAAATCGAGGGGTTGGATGGAAGCTGAGGCATGGGGCTTGTATGTACCAGGACTCCTACAGCTCTCTATATATTAAAGTAGTCAAGCTTAAGTATTTTTGCATTTATTGATGATTGAGCAGATACAGCACAGTAAATGGAAGCAGAACTTTTGCATGGTGTTGGAATTGAGAGTATAGTGGGACTGTAGACAAGTGTGCTCTAAAGCATGTCAGGCTCTTCATGTCGTGATGCAAACCATTTGCTTTGTCGTATTTCAGTGCTGGAACTTCCCAAAGAGCTCTCAGAGATGTTTGATCCAACAAGAGGTATGTTCCTTCCCTGACCACGGCCTTCCTGCTGGCCCACCTACCAGCAAAAGCAGAACAGTTCATTTTAATCATTGCCTTTTTGTTTTGGGAATGTCGTTTTCCAGGGTGCTTGTGGTCATCGGTAGCTGCTGGCTGTCTTGCTTGTAGATGGATGCTCTTAACGTTGCATGTACCTCTCAGTCTGCCTTTTGTCAGCAGCCTCTGCAAAATTTGCCCTTCAGCTGAGGGTTTTCCAGCCCTCAAGCCCACGCTGACGTGTACCCTGTTTCCACATGCTCCTTCTCCCGACTTGTCTGCACCCTCTGGAGTTACAAGAAAAATCCCTCTTATTTAGTCTTGCTTCAACTCTAGTCTTCTCAAAGCTAATCCAAGCAACGAATCTAGGGAGCTGATCTCCTCTCCTTGAAATATCCCTTGGTGGTTTTGTTGGTATTAGTATTTTGGAGTAGTAATGGAGAAGATGCTGATGCATGTTAGGCGTTCTGCCTTGGTCCCCGGCACTTCTAGGGTCACTGCCTAATTGTGGGACAGACTCTGATGCTAAGGGCAGGGGTCCCTAGTCCTCTGCTTTAGAAAATGCTTTGTAAAGTATTTAGAAATGCTTTCTTAAAGCGTTTGCTATATTAAGAAAGAATCCCGAGTGTGAAATGTGACGCATGTGACCGTCTGATGTGTGTTGTCCGAGCCCAGCGCTGGGAGCGCCCGCCGCTGTAGGCAGCGGATGAGGTTCAGGGTAATGATTAAATACTTGGATAATACATCCAAGGAGTAAACTGGACTCCTTGCAAACTGCTGCGAGGCTCCAGGTAGCTTAACTCAATCTAATTAAAGTCATCATATAAGCAGTCTTTTTAAAAAAGTGATGCTTACTTGTTTCATGGATTATTGCTGTCAATGTGCAAGGAGAAGGCAGAGATCCAGGAGTGAAGGAAAATACAAATGGCACTGTGAGATTTTAACTGTGATCTCCCTTTGAGCAGACTGTAGAAGTTTGTACTCTGCAAAATAGGTGACAGCTACAGTGGCAAAGCCCAGGACAGGGAAAAAAAGCAGCATTCCTTGCTTAGAGAAATGGACTTTGTGGCTTCATGCATTCTTCTCCATCCCTGTGTGATTTAGTGATGTTGCCCTGGGCTTCTCTGCTGCTTTAAGGCTTCGTAGCTGAAGCCTGAGAGCTCGGAGGTCTTCCTTAGTGCTGTATATTGAAGTGGCTTTCTGTGCTATTTCCTGTCCCTTTTAAGTTGGTGATAAATAATCGCTTGTTAAACTCACACCCTGGTAAGGGCAGAATTTCACACGTCGCACGTGGTACTGCATTGCTAGGCCTGAGGAAGAGCAAGGTGCTGTATTTAACTTCCATTTACTGAAGCTGATATTATTGCTGTCCGTTCACTCGCATGGAAATTCTCCCATTACACAGCACCAAATTAGCATATGGGTATGTTCCTGGTATATAGAAAAAAATAGTTCATAGTGGAAAAGCATCTTTAGAACCGGCTTATTTGAGTGTCTTTTGTGACGGCTCTTCTCAAGCGTGGGTAGCATCTCACTAGCCCAGTTAGGCTGAGTCAGATCTGCCTCATTTTATCTTGGGTAAGCAAGAGGGGTATCGAGAAACTTGTTTTCAGTTGCACAGCCTCTTAGAGAAGAGCCTCATCTGGGCTTGCTTTGCCTGCCTCCCTTCACCCTTGCAGTGCATTGGGAGCCTGCCAGCCACGATGGGCTGCCCTGGAGGAAGGGATGACCTTTCAGACCTAATTAAGTTCCCAATCGGGTGGGCAGTAAAGGGGGAAGCAGTTTTAATGGCCCATGACGGAGGGCTCTGCAGAGCTGGATGTTTGTTCTGTTGGGCAGCAAAGAGCCAGCAAATCTGCCGGTGTTGCTGGATCAGCCACGTCACCCCTGTGGGACAAGGGGAGCAAATCAGGGGAACAAAGGGTGCAAACTGGGAGGACAGTGGAGGGGCCTTAATCTGCTGCTTATGGGATCTCTCCCTTCCCCATCCCCTTTGGCAAAGCCAGTGGGTGTTTGAGGGCTGTTGAGGTGTCGAGTTTTACCCGTCCTGCTTTAGATGCCTGTTGAAGAGTTTCCTTTGGGAGCCTTTCTGGAAAGGGGCATGTTCTTTTTGTACGTCAGCTGGTAAGAACAAGACACAGAGAATTTGCTTCCAGTTGAGCTAAGCAGGCAAGAATCTCCTGCAGAATTGTTGATGTTGACTTGTCTGACACAAATCTCCCTTTACTGGTGCCGGGAGGCCCAAGCTTTCTGTTGCCTGCATGTACCTGCCCTGCTGCCTTCCCATAGCCAAGGGAAGGATAATGAGGGGCAGGAGAGGCTGGGATGGGCAGGAAACGAGGCGGGCGCAGGCCAGGAAAGGGAGTTGCTCACGGTACTCGTCTCTCCCCAGAGTGTATGAACTCGGAGCTACTGGAGGAGCTGATGTCGTCGGAAGGTAAGTTCTTCTCGTCCTGCTGGCCCTAGAGAGGTGGTTGAGGACCCGCGGAGTTGGCCTCTCCCAAACTGCAAGGCCAATTCAGCAGAGGCTCAAAAAACGCCGCTGTGAAGGAGCCTCCCGTGTGCCGCCACGGAAGCTCCGTGCCCAGCAACTCCTTCTGGCCCGGTGCGGAAGCGATGAGCTGTGTAACCCGGGCTTTCTCTTTGCCAGTGTTCGCCCCGCTGCTCCGCCTCTCCCCTCCTCCCGGGGACCACGACTACATCTACAACCTGGATGAGAGCGAAGGCGTCTGCGACCTCTTTGATGTGCCTGTCCTCAACCTCTGACTCCTCGGCGTGGCTGCGAGCCTCGCGCACACACAGACCGTTTTGTAACTCCTTGGAAAGTGTCTATTTTTGGATTCCTTTTGTGCTAGAGCTCAATGAGTGAGCAACCCAGAGATGCTCTCACATGGACTCAAACCCACGAGATACGGACTTGCAGGCCGGGAGCCTCCCTGTAGCTTGTTTTTTTTTTCTGTCCCTGTGTTGCACATATGAGGTCTTTGACTTAACTCATCCCGCTGTATCCCTGTCTCTCCACTGGATCCTGGGCCTCACTTCAAAGGGTCGGTTTTTGAGTGTTCCCAGTTCAGCTGTAGAGTTTGCCCGCGTGCCTCTCCGAGCTTCCTCAGATCCGCATGCCTTGGATTTCCTGCAATCCTAGATGCACTTTGCACCTCCTAGGCAGCAGCTGCTACCAGGAGCCTTAGTATTGTGGTCAGTTCACAAGCCCGGAGGTAGTTAGTTAGATTTTTCCTTGTGAGCAGTTCAGCTTGGGGTTGTTTGAATGACAGCGGGGGGAAAACATTGGCACCAAAGTGTCAGATTTCTTTGCAGACCAAGTTAATGTTTTTCAAGCAAAAAGCACTTTTTTTTCTCTTTTTCTTTAAGCTTCCGGCTCCTCACGCCACAGCTGCGCCGCTTGTGCAGCGCTGCGGAAGGGGGGCCGGGTTTTCCAGAGCAGAGAGATGCCTGCAAGGGCAGCCTGGGCTCCTGTCTGCAAGGTACTCCAGGTACACCAGAGCCTGCTCACGTTTGCAAATAGCTGCGTTCTCCGACCATTGCACTTGAGCCTTCAGCTGTCTAAAAGGCACCCGAACAGTAGCAGTTCAGCCGTGCTTTGCTGTGACAAGTTACGTAGGTGTTCTCAGGCTAGGCGGTAGGTTTCTCCTCCTTTATTCGCATCTGCTCGGGATCAGACTTTCTGTATATTTGACTTTGCGCCTCCAGTGTCCATCCCCACGCTCCTGATCCTGATGCTGACTGGCATGATGCTTTCTCTGCGTTTTTTTTTTTTCTTTTGGCGAGCTTTTCTTCACTGCTTTGTAACAGAAGGTCTGCTGTAGGATCTTGATGATGATGTTGAGGTGATAGCAGTCTCGGATCCCACGCATTTTAGTTGTTGGAGTAGAAGGCCCTTATGGGTTTCTGCTGCGTTTTGCATGCCCCGGCCTACGTCTTTGGGCAGATCCTGTGTTTGAATATCTGAATTTCGTACCTCTCCCTCCATCGCAGCGGTCGCAGCTGCCGAGTCCCCTGCTCAGCAACCTGCTAGAGGGGCTGGGCCGGGAGGCAGGGCCTGCCCCTCCAGCGAGGAAGCTCTTGGCCGTCCACACAACCAGTCGCTCCCTGCTCAGCTGCATGTGAACCACGAGACCAGCCCTGGCTGCAGCAGCGGCTGCAAGGAGCTCACGGGAGTGAGGAGCGACCCGCTCGGGACTCGCCTTCCTGCTGCGCTCCGTGCTGGCGAGTTCGCTGGGCCTCCTCCAGGACGGTGCGCCCTCCAGCTGGGCAAGTCTGCTGGATCCCGCTTCGGAACAGAGCGAGGAGGCCGAGCGCAGCGGGTGCCGCCGGGCGCCTTCCGCTGCACTGCCAGCAGCGAGGGCTGAGGGGCCGGCCGGAGGGCGCGCGGGACCCTGCGGGCAGCGACCGGCAGCCTGTGGGACCCTTCCCTCTTCCTGCGTGGGAGCTCCTGGAAAGCTGCTGCTCCTCCCTGCGTGTTGGCTGGGCACCAGGGTGTGTGGAGCTGGAGCCCTCGGCCTGCTGCCCCATCCCTGCTCTCCTTCCAGGTGTTCTTGTTTGTCAGCAGTTAGACAAGGTTTGGAAAAAAGCTATCTAGAGAAACTTGACGGTAACAAATGAACTTTGATTCTTATATAAAGATTATTTTTATACTTTTTTTTTCTTTTGCAAGGAAAAGAAAATTGCTGTAATATTTGTACAGTGTTCGCCGAGTGAATAAACAAAACCCTTTCCAGAGCTTCCTCTGCCTTGGAGCCCCTACGCGGCCCCAGGTCCTCGCTGCTGGGCCCCCCTGTGCAAGGGGCCCTGGAGCCAGGGCTGGGGCGGCCGCTGCCTCCTGCTCCCACGGGGGAAGGGGCCGGGTCCAGGTGCGCGGGGCGGCCCCCGGGGGCAGGGCCGGGCTCTCGGGGCCGCCCCGCCGGGGCCGGGGCCGGGCTGGTCCCGGGCGTGCCCGGCGCGGGGGCGGGCAGGGGCCGCGGGGCGCGGCGGGCGGGGAAGGCGGCCGGGCCGGGCCGGGCCTCCCGGAACGGCGGCGCGGGGCCATGGCGCCGCCCAAGGACGTGGTGAAGATCGCCGTGCAGATGGTGGGCGCCATCCCGCAGCTCATCGAGCTCCAGCAGGTACCGCGGCGCCCGCCCCCCTGAGCCCCCCACACCGCCGCTGTGCCCCCAGTGCCCCCCTGACCCCTGTGCCCTCGCCCGCAGAGCAAGCCCCTGGCCGCGGTGCTCAAGGACATCTGCGACGCGTGAGTAGCCGGGCTGCCGCCGCGGCCCGTCACGGGCTGTGGGGCTGCGCGGGACACCCGTGGGTGGGGACGGGCCCGTCGCGGTCCGCCCGTGGGGCCGCGCGGGCGGCCCGCAGGCCGCGGCCGGCCGTGACGGCGCCGTGCGCGCAGGTGGAGCCTGCCCAACGCGGAGCGCTTCGCGCTGCAGCACGCCGACGGCCGCCAGACCTACATCACCGAGTCGGTGAGCGCGGCCGCCACGCGCCCAGCCCTGCGCCCGGGCCTGCGCCGCGCCGCCCGCCGCACCGCTTGCTCTCTCCTTGCAGAACCGCGGGGAGATAAAGAACGGCAGCATTTTGTGGCTGACGACGTCGCCGGTACGGCCCCAGGCCCTTCCCTGCAACGTGCTCTGCGTCAGCCTGCCGCTTCCTGCGGCGGGATGATGAGGGTCTCCAAGCCGCCCCAGTGACGCTCTGCAAGCGCCTCCTCTGTGACACCCAGCCAGTCCTGGCTCCTCTCTGTGCCTCACGTCCCGCGGAAATAGTGTGGGCAGCTTGGTCTTAACCTCCTTTCTCTCTCAGTAGAACTCAGGGGAGTTTGAGGAGAAATGAGGTAACATCTTGCGAAAGGCTTGGGAGCCATGGGTGGACCCACCAGCTGTTCTTAGCGCAGCTCTGCTCTGATTTCCTTCCTCAGTTCCTGCAGGTTTCTGTTCTGATTGCTCTGTGTCTCTGTCCTCCACCCCACCGGACTTGTTCTACCCTGAGCTTCCTTCCAAAACTTTGGCTTAACTTCTTCAGCCCCTGTCTCCATCTGAGTTTATTGCCGTCTTTCAGTGAGCCCCTTTTGCTTCATTCTTCTCTCCTTGCTGCTAGGATCAAGAAGCAGAGGGCTTGTACGCTGGAATCCAGAGCAACAACTTGGATGTCAAGGCCGACTCCCTGAAGAGACTTGCAAACCTTTCCCAAGATGTTACCTTTGCTCAGGAGTTCATCAACAGGAATGGCTTGAAACAGATTTTCTCTATTGTAGAAGAGGGCAATCAGTGAGTATCAGAATTTCTACACGGTTGCTGGGTTTTCTTCTTCCTTGTAGTGCTGTACAACCTCTGCACTGGGCACTGCCTGGCTGTTCTGTTCAGTATATCTGTTTTATTAAGCCCTGTGGGCCCTGCGTGCAGGGGCCCTGTGCTGCGACCCAAGGACAGCATTGACAGCAGCGTTCTTGGTTCTGCTCGGAGGGTTTCAGCTGCCAGAGGTCTGCAGGCAGCTTGAGAAATCCCTGCTGGCCAAACCAGCAGCTCTCTGGGTCGTCTTCTCTCTGAGCCTAAATTTGCATAGCGCACCGTCTGTCCGACACATCTGCAAGTGACAGGGGGAGATTTTGCGGGGTATTGAGTTTCCTTAGAGCTTGTGTCTGTGGTCTTTGTACCACGGTAGCAGAGCTTTCCAGAAACCACAGAACTTCCTCGCCTTGACTTCCTAGGTTGCCTTAGTGCAAGTCTCATTTTTTTCTAAAGATCCTTTCTTCCATTCTCTTGCTGTTCTTTCCATTTTATATTTTTCTCCGTTCTTGCCCCTCATTCTGTTCTTTCTTTCTTCTTCTCACACTTCCCTCTTTTTCTAGTTATTTCCAATGTACCCAGCACCATGTAACTTGCTGGCTGCGCTCGTAGCTTACAGTGGCAGCTGTGGGGTATCTGAATCATTCACTGTGTTTTTTCTTCTCTTTCTCCAGCACAGGGGAGATACTGGCTCACACTCTAAAGGCCTTCATGGAGCTGATGGAGCATGATTTTGTTTCCTGGGAGACACTTAGTGCAGCCTTCATCAAAAAGGTAGCACATGTAGCAGATTCTGCAGCTTGCACCTTCGGGATACCTTGTTACTCTAGTTACCCAGGCTCAGCTTGCCTTTGACGGATGTTTTCTGTGCTTTGCAGATAGTGAGTTATGTCAACATGAGCGTGATGGACGCCTCTGTCCAGCAGCTCTCCTTGTCCATCTTGGAGAACATGGTACCCAGCAGTCGCGTCCTCTTTGACCTCGTCAGAAAAGAAGTGACTGTGGATCGCCTCCTCACCCACCTGCAGGTGTAAGTGGAGGGCCCGGGACCTTGTTCCCCTGCATCCCGGAGCCCTGGGAATGTGTTCCCAGAGGGCATTCCCTGCATCTTGGAGATGCGTTGTTGGTTATCCCTGCTGCAACGTTGCATTGTCCCTTCATAAATACACTCTGTGCAGTGCGTACGTGGAAGGAGTGCTGCAGCAGTGGAACAGGCTGCCCAGGGACGTGGGGGAGTCACCGTCCCTGGAGGCATTCAAGAAACGTGGAGTTGAGGCGCTTGGGGACTTGGGTTAGCAAGCATCCTGGGGATGGGTTTATGGTTGGGCTTAAGCATCCTGAAGGTCTTTTCTAGTCATAATGATTTTGTGATTCTGTCAGTCTGTTCTGTTCCCATTGCCGTGAAGCTGGGGAAGGGATAGGCTGTCCTAGAATCCCACTGCTCAGCAGTTAGAAACCACCCCATTTGCAGCTCGGATTCACTGATCTCCTGTCTTGCCATGGAACTTACGTCCTGCTTTGTTCTTTAGTTGAAATGGCTTTTTTTCCTTTCCTGGCCTTGGCTCTTCCTGCCTTTCCACAGTGTGTCTGTAAGCAGTAGTGTATTCCTCACAGGTTGGGAGGGCTGTACTGAATAACTAGAAATTGTTAAATCCCTCTGCTGAAACAGGTTCTTTGTTCCTTCTTCTCCCTCATAGCTCTAGATCTCTTCAGTTTAGAGATTTTCTTTCTAGAAAGTGGGGAGACCTAAACTGGGTCCAGGACTCCTCCAGAGCTCTTCCTTTGGCTCTCAAAAGCCGTTCCCTGCCTTTTCATGGAGATGATATCAACACTCCATCGTGCAGAGGCTCTTCTTGGTTACTGCTTCTTGGAGCTCTCTGGGCTGCTGCACCCACGTGTGGTCTGAAGCAGGATCTGTTGCTCCGTGTAGGGCTGCCCCTCAGCCACAGCTGTGGGGAGCATCTCTCTTGGCCCCGCAGTGCTTCTGGTTCTGCTGCCAGCAGCTCCTTGCGGATGGCTCCAGCATTGAGGCATCATTTCCACAAGCCTTCCAGCTCGGTGTGATGGGGTCCGGTGGTTACTGGGGAGAAAAGTTTGTCTTGGGGAGGGCAAGACCATCCTCTCACGCGGCGACCAACTCTCCCCCTCTTCCTTTGCCCTCCCCAGGACGAACGCCCAGCTGCAGCTGAAGGCAATGGCCCTGCTCATTGCGCTGCTGCTGGCCGCTACCGATGCCGAGCGCTGGGTAAGGAGCCACGCGCCGCGAGCAGCGGCAGCACCGCGGGGCTGCTGAGCGGACGGCTGCGGGGCAGCGGGCACTGCGGGCCCGCTGCCGTTTCACTCCCTGTAATTTGGGCAGATGCAAGAGTTCGGGAGCGGCGTTAGATGCGGTGCTGCCACGGGGGCTGTGGCGGCTGCGGTGCCGAGCCCAGCGCTGCGTGGGAAGGGTCTGCCCCTCCGTGCAGGGCAGGGATTGCCTGCGTGTGGTGGGAGGCGCGGGCAGCTGGGCTCTTGCACTGCGGCGTCCGCATCCTCTGGGATTGTGGGGTCCCCAGGGACATTTACAGTCAGTCCCCCTGCTCTGCCTCTGCCCTTTGGCTGGTGCATTCGTGTCCGCAGCCGTGTGGGACAGGGTCTGTCTGGGCTCTGCTGGAGCACTCTGGCTCTGTGTGCCAGAGCAATGGGAGCTCAGGACAGCTTTCCTGCTCGGTGTCACTCCTCAGACTCCTTTTTATTGCTGCCCTTCCTGTGGCCCAGAGCCTGGAGTAGCAGGGCCC